GCTCCAAGGCCCACTCTAACTCACACCCTACTGGCCAGAGCTAGTCACTGGCCACCCCTGGCTGTGAAGGAGGTTGGGAAATGTGGACTTCGTATCTAGGTCCAATCCAAGGTCCCTGTCCCTCTTTAGGTGGGGGTGCATGGGCAGAGGGAGGCCTGCGGCCTGCAGGGTGGAGCTGCTCAGGGAGTAGCCCTGCAGCAAGCAGTGATTGCCCGTGTCTGTCCACAGGAGGACATTGCGAAGCTGCTGCGTTACGAGTCTTCAGCACTGCCTGCTGGGCAGCTGACCAGTCTGTCAGACTATGCCAGCCGCATGCAGGCTGGCACCCGCAGCATCTACTACCTGTGCGCGCCCAGCCGGCACCTGGCAGAGCACTCGCCCTACTACGAGGCTATGAAACAGAAGCACACAGAGGTGGGCAAGCAGTGGGGCTTCCCTGGGGCCGCTGTCCTGGCCAGGCTCCCTTGCAGGGTCAGAGCCCCTAAGCAGAGGTCTCAAATGTCCCAGCCCAGTGTGCCCAAGGCTGGGAGGCCACATGGTATGAGCCAGGCCTTCCTCAGTGGACCCTCTCCTGCCCTGTGGCGCATTTCTCACCAGCAAGTGGCAGGGGAACTCATTCATGAGTAGAGTGAGCCTCAGGACCTGCTAAGAGGTGTCCCCTCTTCTGTCGCGTATACACTGAGGTTCTGTGACGTCGGCAGGTCCTCTTCTGTTATGAGCAGTTTGATGAGCTCACCTTGCTGCACCTTCGAGAGTTTGACAAGAAGAAGCTGATCTCTGTAGAGACAGACATTGTTGTCGATCAGTACAAGGAGGAAAAGTTTGAGGACACATCACCAGGTGGGCTTGCTTTCCTCTCCAGGGTACAGGGCTAGCACAGGTTGTAGCCTAAGTAGCAGGTGGCCTGGGACTGATGCTTTGTTCCTATAGGTCCTTTCCTGTCCTGTCTGTTGATTGACCTGGGATGTTCTTTTTCACCTGGGTTTGGGGACACCAACCCATGAAAGAAGGTGCTTGGGAACATCTTAGTGATTCATGGAAAATAGGTCTTAGGGCCTCTCTGATGCTCCTTTCATGGTGGCTTCTACTGTTGACCAAGTGTCCCAAGAGAACCAGATTTGGTTCCACCACCAAAACCTGGGCCTCAGGCAACCAAAGTGCCCTCCTGAGGTTTTCACTGTAGATGAAATGAGTCTTCTGGAGCAGCAGGCAGTCGGCGGGGCAGGTGTGGGGAGAGCCCAAGGAAGAAATCCGTGGAGCAGTGCTGTGGGCAGTGGCCCCTGGGCTTGCTCATGCTCATTCTTGTGCAGCCAGTGACCGCCTGTCTGAGAAGGAGACAGAGGAGCTTATGGCCTGGATGAGGAACGCGCTGGGATCTCGAGTTGCCAACGTAAAGGTCAGGCCCTCCTGGGCGGGTTTCCCTCTACCCCTGTGGCTGTTAAGTTGCTGGCCTGGTGGACATTGGCCCTGGCAGTGGTGGAAACCTGCAGCATATGGTGGAGGTCATGGGAACTGAGGAAGTGGAAGGAGCAGCCAGGGCCCTGGAGGACAGGTGGAAGGCAGTAGGTCCCCAGCAGGTACCCCAGGGCCAGCCTGTTCTGGACCTTGTAGAAGCTGTAATGGCTAAAGTGGGGGTTCCAAAAAAGGGAAGTGCCTCCCCTCTGCCTGAGGGGAGTTCATGTTCTCAGTTGGGGTCTTAATGGGGTTCTGGTGGGCTTCATAGAGCTAAGAACCTGCTGGCCTAGCTCAGTGAAAGGAGAGAGACAACCAGCAGCAAAGGGCATCTGGTGCAGGGCCATTGGCTCAGGGTGTACAGGAGTGAGCTCAAGCAAAAGGCAGTGAGGTGAGGGTGGCCCTGGCTGGAAGAGAAAGAACCTCTGCAGGACACTGGGGCCAACCTGTGCAGACAGGGTTACATGTGGCACCTGCTTCTGTGGTGCGTGTTGTGTCCCTGCTTCACAAATGCCAGGTCTCCACCATGCGGCCTGCGCAATGGTTTCATTAATGAGGTTCTTGGCATAAAAGTTAGCTAGAAGAGATCGAAATAAAACACACAGACTCAGTTACCTTATTTCTATTGCCAGGTCTGAGACGGCTCCCCTCTCTGGCTCCGACCTCTAACCGCCCAGCAGGGCAGCAAGGATTACTCAGGGCTAGCAGGAGAGAGAGAGAGTGAACACGCCAGGGAGTAGCCTTTTATTGGGGAACAAGAAATTCAGGGGATAATTCCATCCAATGAAGGTTGAGGGGGGACTGCACTCCAAGGTCAGGGTCAGTGATTGGGCCCCCGGGGTCAGTGGTCAGTCACACCCCCACATGGACGGTTTCTCATCAGGAGAGGGCCGGGAAAATTCCGACACAGCCAGAAGCCTCAGACCCTTAACGGGAGCCGCCCAGTCACGTGTCAGGATGGCTTCCCACACAGGTCCTTAAGCCCTGGGCAACTGTTGTCCCTGGTCTGTGGTGAGGAAAGAGGACCACAGCTAGACATCAGGGGGCAGAGTCTGAATTGGAGCTCAGAGCCTGTTCCCCAGTGGCCAGGCTGGCAGGCAGGAGGGTTCTCAGCCTGAGTCAAGAGTCCATGGTCCCAGCCACTCCAGACGCTGGAGGGGGTGCCTTGCTGGGAGGGTGTCTTTTTATGATGGGAGGAGGGAGAGCAGGGTTGTAGGACAGAGCAAAGGAGGAACTTCCGAGAAGGACTTGCCCTGGGGCTGGGCCCTCAGAGACACGAGGGCCTGGTGCTTCAGGGAGGCAGCATGGGCCTCAGTGATCCCCTTCTTAGTGGGCAGTGGGGAGGGGGAGCAAGCAAGGCTGGCTCCAGGCTGTGAGGGACTGTCCCTGAGACCCTGCCTTCTACCCTGTGGTGTGGGAGAGCATCCCCCCATTTTAGACCCTGCCAAGCCTGGCCCTTTTGCCCCTGCAGTCCCCCTCAGCTCCACCCTGGCCTTGCTTGCAGGTGACTCTCCGCCTGGACACCCACCCTGCCATGGTGACTGTGCTAGAGATGGGGGCCGCCCGGCACTTCCTGCGCATGCAGCAGCTGGCCAAGACACAAGAGGAGCGTGCTCAGCTCCTACAGCCCACACTGGAGGTCAACCCCAGGTGCAGTCCAGGCGCTTTTCTGACCTGCTGAGGGGTTTTTATCCTACAGGAGCATGCATCCTTCTCGGGCATGGGAAAGTACACAAAGGTTTCACTCAGACGGCTGTTTATAAGGAGAAGGCCTGTGTCGCTGTGACAAAATACCTGAGAAATTCAACTTAAAAAGAGGAAAAGTTTACTTTGGCTCATAATTTCAGAGTTTTTAGCCAGCACTGATTTGGCTTGGTCACTTGGTGTCTGTTGCAAGGCAGAACATGGTACGGGTATGCGGTAAAGCAAAGCTACTTATGGCAGCCAGGAAGTAGGGAGAGGGGAAGGACCAGAGTCCAATGTCCCTTCAAGGGCATGCCCCCAGTTACCTAACTTCCTTCTGCTGGGCCCTACCTCCTAAAGGTTCTATCCCCTTCCAGTGGTGCTACTCATGGGGGACCAAGCCTTTGACATAGGAGACGTGGGGGATATTTAAGACCCAAACCACACACGATCCACACCTTTGAACTGTACCCCATGAGATTTAAACAGACTGGACACCCTCCCAGGGTTCTGCCCTCTGTGATTGTCCCTCAGAGGTCAGCCACATTTCACAGGACCGTCCTGGCCTCACATTGCCCTGTGTGCCTTAGAGCAGCAGACTGGCCTGTTTTGGACCCCAGGCCTCTACCACTGAGCCACACCCCAGCCCTTTATCTTGAGACAGGGCCTCAATAAGTTGCCTAGCCTGGCCTTGAACTGCAATCCTCCTGCCTCAGCCTCCTGAGTCCCTAGGATTGTGGGTGTGCCACTGCATCTGGCACAGATGTTCTCTTTGAAGTCGTCTTTTTCACACAGCATCTGAGAGATGGTCTGCATTCAGGGGCCTTTGAGGGTGGTTGTCAGAGATGAGTGGCACCCACTAATGAATCCCCCTCGGCACAGCTTGTTCGAGCATTCTGTTCTGATGGGCATTTTGGTGGTTTCCAGTTTGGGGCTGTTGGAACAGGGTTGCTGTGCACATTCTTGTCCCAGGTCTGGCACGCATATGGCTTCTCTGGGAGGATCACCAGTGGTGAAGTGGCTACAGGTCCTCAGCTGGCCCAAGCTGCTGCCAGGCAGCTGTGGTGCTCTGAGCCCTGGATGGCTCCTGCGCGTGCTTTCTCAAGCGTTTCCTGGCCTGGAGCTTGGCCCCTCTCTTGCTGGGTTCTCTTTTCCGTGGTGCTTATAGTTCTTGTACCGCCATTTGTGGCTGACTCTTCCCTCTTTCCACCTGCCTTAAGGTATCTTCTGGTGAGTAGAAGCATTTGACTTTAATTTAATCAAATCTAGGAATCTGTCTTAGAGGCTTTCTTGGATCTTAAGGAACCTCTCACTGGAGGCCGCACTTACCCCCTCCCTTCCCTTCTAAGGGCTGGGTGACTGTGGCCCTTCAGCTGGCTCTGTAGCTGACTGGTGGTCATGTGGGGTTGGATTTCTACCCACTCTGCAAGACAGCCATCGTCCCACCCACTCGCTGCACACACCTGTCCTTGCCCAGGTCACGGGGTGTCAGGTGTCCACGCACATCTTCTGCTTGTCCCTCTGCCAGTTCCGCAGGGTCCTGGGTGCTCAGCTTTCCCAGGTCTCCATGCCCAGCAGCCAGGTCTGCCCCTTATTTTTTCGAGCAGAGCTGGCTGCTTCTCTGTAAATGGCCTGACCTGTGCCACGCCCACACCCCTCACACACAGGAATCCAGCGATTGTGACGGGGATTGTCTTAACTCCCTAAATCAATTTTCAAAAGAACATAGTATATTTCTCCATTTACTTGAGTCTTTAGTACCTTTTGGCAATTTAGGTTCTCTGTGTAGTTCTTTTTTGTTGTTGTTGGATTGTTTTGTTTTGTTTTGTACCGGGGATTGAACGAGGAACACTTAGCCACTGAGCTACATCTCCAGCGCTTTTTATTTTTCATTTGGAGACAGGGTCTTGCTGAGTTGCTTAGGGCCTCACTAAGTTGCTGAGGCTGACTTTGAATTCACAATCCTCCTGCCTCACCCTCCCAAGCTGCTGGGATTATAGGTGTGTGCCACCACGCCTGGCATGTCCCTTTAGTTTTTATAGCTGATGTCTTTTTTTCCTTTGAGATGGAGTCTTCCTAAATTGCCTAGGCTGGCCTTGAACTTGTACTCCTGTGTCAGCATCCTGAATCTCTAGGTTTACAGGTGTGTGCTACTAAGGACTGAATCCAGGGTGTTCCACCACTGAGCCACATCCCCAGCTCCTTTTTATTTTGAGACAGGGTCTTGCTAAGTTGCTAAAGCTAGCCTGGAGCTGGAGCTTCCTGCTCCAGTTGGGATTCGGGTGTGTGCCCCCACACCCAGCTGGCTGCTGATGGGTCTTTTTATTAAATGTATAAAGTTATCATTTTCTGAACTCTTTTTATTTTCTGTGGTGCTGGGGATGGAACCCCGGGCCCGTGCATGCAGGGCAAGCACTCTACCAGCTGAGCTATGTCCCCAGCCCTTGTTTTGCTTGTTGTTGTTTTTTTAATTGATAATAATCTTTTGAAATGAAATTACATAAACAAGTTACCAAAAATGTTAATAGCAAAAGGAAAACCCTCATCCACCTCCTCACCTGCCACAGCGTGGCCTACTTGGTGAGTCACATCTGTGTGGAGTTTTCCTGTGGCACATGGCTTAACTTCTTCATTGTCACTTTATCAGGGTCTTTACCATGAACTAGTGGGCTGGGGAGGTCTCTTTCCCCTTTTTGCAGGTCACTTAGGTAAATTGAGTGTGGAGCAACAGGTGGCAGCTCTGGGCCAGCGGCAGCCGTGTCCAGGCAACATGGGGCTGAGGCGGCAGCTGCTGACTGGTTCTGCTGTATGGAAGTGGCCAAGGGCTTCACTTTTCAATCTTGCCTTTAAAACCTGTGTGTGTTCACGTGGTCCAGAATTGGAATGTACCTGGAGTTGATAGGAAAAACACTCCCTCCTGGCCTTGTCCCCAGTGCAGCCAGAAGTGCGTGTCTCAGGGAGCAGCCGGGGCTCCTCCCGGGCAGCGTGCAGGTGGTCACTTGGATTTTCTCACTCAGTGGTGTAACAAGGGACCCCCCGTGCTAGAGCATCCCGCATGCCCTCCTCCTTTGTCCAGCTGTGTCGATGCTGTTGTAAGGACGTACATTAGAGGTGCTTCCTGCTAAGGTGCAGTCTGCAGATGGAACTGCTGCTCTGGGACGCCATCTGTGCATAATTGTGAACCTCAGGTCTCTGTAGAGATCAGTTAAGTTTACCTAAGTGAAGTCTCAACAGTTTGATGTATGTTTCTTATTATAAAGTTATTTTTTCTTTGTAGGAAAAATGTTTTTGTCATTCTTTTGTTTTGGGCTTCTGGGTTTATGAAATTTTTTTAATTTACCTGTTTTCTTCTGAGATTAAGCTTTTTTGAATTGTACTTTTTATCTTTGATCCCAGTTAATTTTGGTCTAAGGAAGAAGGCAGGAATCCAGTTTCATCGTTCTCTGGCTGGCTGCTGGTGAGCCCAACACTGCAGGCCAGCTGATCTGCCTTCCCCGAGCCCTGCCGAGCGTCAGCATCCTCCAGGGGCCCTCTTGGCTACTTGCTCTTCTGTGTTTTTTAACAGTCTATTAGTAAATTGGTGGGTTGTTTGGGGATTCACTGGCCATTTCCGGAATGTTCTGTTAACCCCCTCAGAGGGTCAGCAGCATGCAGGTAGAGGCCTGAACCAACAGCTCCTGTGGTTCCCACATTGCAGGCACATGCTGATTAAGAAGATCAATCAGCTGAAAGAGCAGGAGCCAGAGCTGGCCCAGCTGCTGGCTGACCAGGTGAGAGGAGCCGGGCCCACCCAGGACAGCCCCTGCCCACCTGGGAGGTGGGAAGCTGCTCTCGTCTTTGTGACCCAAAAAACAATTTCCACCCTTGCCTTTCAGATCTATGACAACGCCATGATAGCAGCAGGGCTAGTGGACGACCCCAGGCCCATGGTTGGCCGCCTCAATGACCTTCTCGTCAAGGCCCTGGAGAGACGCTGATGACATGGTCCTCCTAGGTGACAAAGGAGATTATGTGCCTGGGAGTGTCCCCAAGCAGAGACAGTAAGGACAAGAGACCACCACCTTCTTGAGCTTTATTTACCTCCATTAAAGTATTTCTTAATCCACCTTTGGGCTGTCTAGGCTTTGAGATGTCCAGTGAGGTAGCCCCCTTGGCTGGAAGCTGCACAGCCATGCTACTCACTGGCGTCAGGCTCTCCTCAGCGTCACCTCCACTGGGTAGTGGTCACTGATGGCTTCAGCCTGAAGGGAGACACACAGGGCTTCGGGACTTAGCCCCACCCCTTCCCTGGAGGAGGCGCATCATCTACCGAGCTGGCAGGGTGCACACTTACGAGCTTGTTGCCCAGGCCGTAGGCCACTTGGAAGTCATAAGGGACAGCCGAGTCGGGAACAATGGCAGCTTGGAGGAGAGCTCCAGAGACCACAATCCTGTGTGACACAGGACAGGAGGCGAAGGCTGGGCTTCAGAGGCTTGGTGATGCATTCTGAGGCTAGGTGCCCATGATGTGTCCTACTCACCTGTCGTAGGCACAGTGTGTGGATGTGACTGTGGTGTCCGCAGTGTCGGGAATGAGCCACTGGAAGGCACGGTCTGTACGCAGACGAATGGAGGACCACTGGGAGGGGGTCACATAGCTGCAGCCAGCATTAAAATCACCCATCAACATGATGTCCTGCGGGAGACACCTGCCTGTTGGCCCTCGGACTGATTGGGCTGCTAGAGCCCACTGCCCACAGACAGACCGTCTCACCTCCAGGCCCCACTTCTGCCGGACATCCAGGTAGACGTCATAGAGAGCATCAATCTCCGTCACTGCGTCGGCTGGGGCAGCATGCAGGGGCACGATGGCAAACTCCCTGACATCTGAGGAGACAGACACATTGAGCACCTGGCAGGCAGAAGCAGGCTCAGCTGTTGGGATAAAGGAAACACAATGGTGCCCCAAGGTGTGGACTTTCCCCTGCATGACTTGAACAATTAAGGACAACAAGATCCCAACGGGTGTGGGGACGGCCTGGGTAGGGCTGAGGCTCAGCAACACTCACGTGTATATGGGGAGAAGAACTTGACGATGGCTGGTTCTCGACTGAAGGTGTCATTCCCACAGGGCTCACAGCCGTCGTCGTAGTAGTAGCTGTCCAACACGGACACTTGGTCAGGCCTGCGGGAGGGCCAGGCAGGAGGTGACCCTGGGGCTGGTGAACCAGCCGGCTCCTTCACATTATCTCAATGAACCTGCTAGCACTGGCACTAGCAGGTGGCCCTGGGGAGGAGCCGGCTCACTCTGGGGCTGGAGGCAGGGGTGGTTGCCTCCACCTGGAGTGCTCTCTTTTATTGGGTTCTTATCCCTCCCACTTTCCTAGGATCCTCCCAGGAGAGGGAGGGGCTTACTGGACTCTGGACTACCCCTGAGCCTTGCGAGGTGCTCTGTGGGTACAGACGGGGTCCTTCTCACATCCTGGTCCTGGCAGTCACAGACTGCACTGGCCCAGGTTTTACCTGTACACGAAAAGGTACTGCTCCTTATAGCTACTGCGTCCCAGTGGCTCACTGACCACGTAGTGGTAATTGTCCGGTGCATCTCTGGATGGGGGAAACAAAGGTCCATCAGGGCCTCAGCAGGGCTCTGCCTCCTGTCCCTGGGACCGGAATGAAGTGAGGCTGTACCATGGAAGTGGTCTCTTCTCCCAGAACCCTACCACTGTCACCCACCGATTAAGTTCATCCAGCAGTTTCCCCACAGCTGTCAGGTAGGTGTCTCTGACCTCCTGGACAAGAGCAATGTCGTAGCGACTCAGGATCTAGGGGACAGGGCCGCACGGGTACTGAGCAGGAGCTGGGTGGTGACTCCAGCCCTTAGCTGCCTGGGGCATCGGGTCCTGCCCACCTCAAGGGTCGCAGCCAGAGCCGTGGCTGCTCCTTGGGACATTCTTCATGGTGCAGCAGGCCCTGTCTTCACCTTGCCTGGGTCCTGGGGCTTTTGTTGCCCCACGGAGCTGCCCTGCCCAAACCACTGGCCCTGTGTTCGTGGGGCTGTGACACCCTCCCCCTGAGGTCTGCCCTCAGGAGCAGACTTACCTGCACAATGTAGCTAGAGAGGGTTGCATTGGACATCTTGGTCTCCCCAAAACTCCGTATGTTGAAGGCTGCAATTCTCAGAGATGTGACTGCATGCTGCAGGCTGGCCAGGGCAAGCAGTACTATTATGGGCCTTGGGCCCCTCATCCTGGGAGAACCTGAGTTATAGGGAACAGTGGGACATCACCTGTCGTCCTCGCCCCCGCCTCCCCAAGGTCAAGGGCATCTGCCCTCATGGCTGTGCTGCAAGAGCACAGGCCAGGGAGACCCTCAGTGCTTTCACCACATATCCAGAGGGACAAGCACCCAGTGCCACAGAAGTCCCTGGTTTTCCTCCTCCACCCACCAGGGGAAACAAGCCCCAGAAGCATGCCATCCTGAGCCACTGGGGCCACCAGAGTCTCCCAGAGCCTGCACTTGCCAAGCAGACCCTGTTCTGTTGGTGGGACACAGCTGAGCCTGCCCTCCCTGCTCAGGGACTGGCTGGTCACCTAGAAGGACTCCACAGATGACCAAGCCTAGCACTCACCCAAGGTGATGTCTGCAGAGATGATGGGATTTCTGCTAAGAATTTGGAATATTCTTTGATGATAATTTTCTCCTTTTGCTGCTTTAAGAAAAAGTTAATTTTCAGAGGGAGCTCTTGGAAGAAACAACACAGCGAGGACTAGCAGATCTGCCAGGGCTCCTCCTCTGTCCAGACACTGCTGGTCCCAGCCAGGGTTTTAAGGGTTCAGGCAGGGAGACCGCCCCCAGGGCATGCGTGCGCCTGCACCTGAGCAGAACAATGGCACCACCTGTGTGGCCCTTGACAGACCGGCTCCATCATGGGGTGAACACAGCAGCTGATAATGATGTTTGCACTTGGCTGTAAAGTGTCTAGTAAATGTCCTTTGCCCATCCAGTATCTTCCCCACCAGGGATGGGCACAGGTGTGTGCTGGAGGGCAGGGCTGCACTCACCCACCGTCTGCCTCAGATCTAGGATCCTGGAGGTCACCTTGGAGCCGAGGCCAAAGCCAGGAACACAGCTGCACGTTGCCAACGGAGCCCCGCCACTCTGGCCCAGGACCTTCAGGGCACCCCAGTTCCTCCCAATTCATCAGCCGTGACAGGCGGCAGGCTGGCAGCTGAGCAGGAGCAGGGCTGTGAGTGGGGGGTGCTTGAGCAGGGCTGTGAATGGGGGTGCAGGCCATGGCATGACAGCGTCACTGGGTAAGGGTGAGGACTGCAGGGCCAGGCAGCAGGGAGCTTTCTGAAACAGATAAGAGGCTTAAGCCTCAGGGACCTTCAGTGAAGAGGTCACAAGGCCACACCTTGGTCCAGTCATTTCAGACCCCTTGGCCTTCCCATGCGTGTTCATGTCCTGAGGCTACAGCAACAAGTCACAGATTCAGTGGCTTAAGACAATAGGAATTGATCCTCTCACCGTTCTGGAGGCCTGGAATCAGCATGGCCATGGGTGCTGCTCTAGGGGAGGATCCTCCTCTAGGTTAGCTCCACTCTGCCTCTGTGATCATATGGCCTGTCAATCTGTCAATTCTCCTAGAAAGGTAACCATGGTTGCATTTGGGGCCCTCCCAGGTCAGCTGGATAATGTCCCCACCTCACCATCCTTAGTCTCATCTGTGAAGTCCTCTTGCCACATAAGCTTAGGACATGGGTATTTCTTAGGTACCGTGTTCAGGCAGTCCATCTAAGTGGGCTCTGCCCCATGTGGGAAGAGCTATTGCGTCTCCAAGGACAACCATGTGGGAGGCCTTGGTCCCTCCTTGGGAGGTGGGAGGGCCTGGCAGAAATTGTAGGACCAAGGCTCAAGAACCTTGGGGGAGGGGTGCTATGGGAGATCAGGGAGCAGGGTGGCCTCCAGGGCAGGAGTCAGTAGGGACTAAGGTCAGTCAGGAAACTACAGATCTGGCCTGCTGGCCAGGAACCAAGTGCAGGCTCAGTGAGGGTTAACAGAGGGTAAACCTGAACTTTAAGGAATCAAAGGGCACTGAGAAGTGACTCTGGCCATCAGCACAGGTTCACTGGACTTTGTTATGGCACCTGAGAGATGGAGTCACCAACTTGCTCCAGCTACCAGAAGCCCCGTCAGACTTTTTCAAAGGTCTGGTTGCTGGGTTTTCCCTATTTTCAATCTCAGGAGCAGGCTTAGCAAGTCACTGTGCTCCACAGAGGTGACTTGCTCAGCTTCCAGGTGGATGCGGGGCACCGATTACCATTGACACAGTGTGTCCGAGGTAGCTCGGGTTTGCAGCACACTGGACAAGGGTACCTGGGGGCCTCTCATCCCTTCCCTACTCTTGGGAACTCCCAGGCACCATCCTCACCCTCCTCCTACCCACCAAGAAGGTTGGGACTCAGGCCTTATACAAAAGACTGGGCCCTGGACACCCACTGCATGTAACAGCCTTCAAAACAGGGGCTCCTATTCTGTGTGAGCCCCCAACTCAGCACTGGTGGTCCCAACCATCAGAAGGGGTGGGACCACCTCCACTGCTGTCCTGAGGTTTAAGTAGCAGTAGACACAACACCATTCCACAGAATCACTGCAGCTCTTCAAAAAGTCCCCCGCTCCCTGAGGACAAGCCCTCTCAGATGCTGTACCACCATCGATCTTACCTTTCCCTTCTGGGTATTTCCATTTGTTTCAGCCAGTTGTTGCTGTGTAACAAGCTGCCCCAAAACGAGTGTGCACAGCCAGGCATAACAGTGCATGCTGGCACCTCAGCAACCTGGGAGCTGAGGCAAATTCAAGGTCAGCCTGAGCAATTTAGTGAGACCCCATCTCAAATTTTTTAAAAAGGGTTGGAGATATAAGTGCCCCTGGGTTCAACCCCAGTATTGGGGGGGACAAACACAAGTCTCTGTGCACAGCGTGCATTTCCTTTCCTGTGTGCAGGTCTGCAGACCAGCTGGGATGGCGCTGGGCCTGCTGGGGCTGGGCTGGAAGGTCCCAAGGGGCAAGCAGGGTATCTGACACCCCTTGAGGCCTAGGCTTGGACTCTGTGCTGTCCCTTCTGCCCACTCTTTTGGCCCTGGCAGGCCAGTAGGCCAAGCCAAGGTGAGCGTAAAGGAGTGAAGTACACTCTTCTCAAGGCCCCTACTTTGCAGATGCAGAGATGGGCACCAGGGAAGAGAGAGGCATGGCATTCCTGGCATTTCCAGTCGTATCAGCAAGGATATGTGTGCCGAGAGCCAGTGCCCACAGCGTGGAAGCTGGCCCCTTTTTTACGTCAGGGTGAGCTGTTTTTACATCAGCCAAAAGGATCTGCAGCTTTCTCCTGTCTCCTCCACAGAAACACAAAGGGAAGCAGCTCCTGACAATGGTCTCCTCAAGTATGAACCAAGTCACAGGATAAAGAAAATCCTACAAACACCCAGTCAGGAACAAAGTGTAAAGAAAATCCTATAAACACCGCAATCAGGAACAAAGTGTTATGGGCCAGACTTTATAGGCAATGACCAAACAGACTCCATTTTGCCCTGAGACTCCACATCATGTAAGAAATGCTCCTCCCATGGGAATACCTGCCTCTGTGCCCATCAAACAGCATAGCATGTTTGGCAACACAAAATGGCAATTCTTTTTTTTAATATTTTTTAGTTGTAGTTGGACACAATACCTTTATTTATTTGTTTATTTTTATGTGGTGCTGAGGATCAAATCCAGGGCCTCACGCATGCTAAAGCACTTTGCCACTGAGCTACAGCCCCAGCCCACAAGATGGCAATTCTTATACAATGTAAAATTGTTCTCTTTGGTTCACATTTTTCTTGGACAATGTACCCTGTCAGATTGGTTGTCTAGATATTAGTAACCATTCTTTAACTTGTACCAAATGAGGATCATTTTGACCTACTTCCCCTTCCCGTTATGATCTCCTGATGTTTGCTTATGGTCTTGAATCAGCAACAGCCACTTATGATTAATGTGGTTTTGGACTGTAAAGGTGTGCTCTAACCCCAGAAGGGAGTCGAAGGGTGTAGACTTGCAGCCTGCCCCTTGACCCGCCAGCTGGTGGATGCCAACCACAGGCTGCTGAATAAAGATGGTTCCATGTCCTGCTTTAAGATCTACTCAGTGATTTAATGCAATCTCGCCATAATAAAAGGACCTCAAAGGGACATGTGCGGTGGCACAGGCCACACAGGGGTCAAGGCAGGGTGCAAGGAGCTGTGCGAAGGCACACTCAGATCAGGCATATGCTGCTCAGGGAAGTCCACGGTCCTGAAGCTGCATCCCACTTTACTCCTTTCTATGCTATCCAGTATCTGCAGCACTAGCTTGGAACCCAGGCACACCCCCTTCCTGGCCCAATGCAGTGACCCCACCACATGCAGATGCTAAAATTCCTGAGAGCACTCCAGGTCCTTGCCATCCCCAGCCCTCCCCCAAACATCCAGAGTCCACTTCTCTCCAATCCTGCAGCCACCACACTGGCCCGCTCACCACTGCTGTGTGGCCTCCCAGCTTCCAGAAACACCTCCATGGTCCACACGGTCCCAGAACATCTCCTAAGTGTGTAATCAGATCACATAACACATTATTCCTCTGCTTGGAATCTGTCACCAATTTCTCATTGTCCTTAAGGAGAAATCAATGCTTACAATGACCTAAGCAATTCCAGCTCAAAGCTTCTGCTCACCTGAGCATCTGGGGCCTTCTGTCATGTCATCCCAGTTTCAGCTTAAATGTCACCTCTTCCAGAGAGGCCATTCCCTCCCTGCCCACAGGGCCCTTGCTGCTCAGTGGTTGTAACATGCTCCTCATTCACACTCCCCGATGGCCGACTTCTCAAGCAGAAAGCTCTGCGGCAGAGACCCTGGCTCTCCATGTAAGGTCCCCGATGCACACAGCAACACCTGGAAGGCCCAGGGCACCCACAGCTAAGCTGCGCTCAGCTTTCCTGCTCCTCCTGGCTGAGAGAGAATGTCCCTTCCTCCAGGACCCTCCAGAGAAAAGCCTGTCCTCAGAGACACTGGGCACAGGGGACACTGCGGGCATCCAAGGCATAGCTCCCTTCAATGGGCTAGATGTACCTCAGGAGGCACATGTGCTGCCCCACACATCTTGGAGGACAAAGGCCCTGTCTTTGCCATGTCACTGTAATCCCTGAGGAGGTCACAGGCTTCGATCAGCACAGTGTGCTGCCCTTGGCCCATGACTGGCCTGCACTTGCCAGCCCAAGTTCATTTCTGCTCATTTCCACCCAGGGTGGAAAATTCCTCAGAACAACACACATGAAATGCCAAGACTCGTGACCGCCACTCTGTCACGCTCGGCCAGTCATGCCAAACCCAGTGCGTTAGGGGGCGGATGGCATCTGGAGGCCAGGAGCCAGCACTCCCAGGAGGGCTCTGCCAGCCTGAGCACACCACTATTCTGCACCCTGATTTCAGGAAAACACAAATACAGGTCGTCTGCCTAAAAGGCACATTCTAAAGTGCATGCTGGGTGCGTGGGTACCCCGCAGCACATGCCTCTGGGGTGCCAGCCACAAGCTGCACTTCCTGGGCATGCAGCAGGGCCCCAAGTGCTACCATGAAAATGCCTCTCAAATCCCCCAGTTCCAAAGCTACTTCAGCCTCCCACAGGCACAAGGAGCGCTCTAGGCAGCTCCCTGTGTCCACCCTGGGGCTGGAGCTATAGAGAGGTACGCAGGTCCAGGGTCCCAAGGCTCAGGCCATAGTGTTTTCCACTGACCTCCCCTCAGCTCCCTAGTCCTGCTCTGCTGGCCTGCTCTGCTGACAGAGCCACCTGAAGGTAGACTCCAGCCACAACCCTCTCCTCATCTTCCTCTGGGAATTCCAATGCCCCTGAACTCCCCTCACCCTGTCTCTTCAGGGGTCAGCCACAGCTGTTCCCAAGCCCATCTGTGAGTCATCTTCCCCAGCTCCCATTTCCTAGTGTGCCTCGTCACTTTCGACTAAGCATTAGCCACTGTGACAGAAGGCAGCGTCTGGGTGTGTCTCCTCCATGGAAGACTTACCTCCTTGGAGGGCCAGAGGAACAGCCTACTGGGGGGCACTCAGGGACCTTGTGAAGACCAGCTGCCCTGTGGCCTGCTCACTTCCACGTGCCCCACACCTGTCCTGACCAAAAGCCTGCATTCTACCTTAGGCCCTTCCTCCCGACAGGCCTGACCTCTCCCAGATTCTCCACTTCCAGATTCTCTTCCTGGTGCTTGGGATTGTCTCTTCTCTGGCCTCCTCCTCCTTGGGGATCCTGGCTCTGGGGTACTGCTGCTCAGCTGGGGCCCACCCTGGGATACTGCCTACAGCCCTCGGCTTCACGCCTCAGCGTCCTGCTTGGCCAGGGCCCTGGGGGGAAGGACCCCGCACAGGAGCCTTCCTGTGACTGGGGTGGCTGTCCTGTGTTGGGGCCTCGCGTCCTTGGCAGTGCTAGTCTGCCGCAGGCTGCTCCATGGGAGCAGCTAATCTGGGAGCAGCACCCTGAGTCACTTGAGATGGGCTGACACCAGTGGGGCTGGTCCAACCAGTAGCTGTTGAACAGCCCTAGTTACGATGTCCTGTCTAGAGTGCGCCAGATGAGGGAGAATCAGGATGGACACAAGCCCATTTTGTGGGGCAGCCAGGGACTGAGCTGTACCTTTCTGGGACAGTGGCCTCTGCATCCTTGGCAGCCTCGTCCTAACAAGGATGGCATGTGCCGGGAGCTGGTCAGTCCTCCCACCAGAAGCTGCCCGTTGGCTCCTGAAGTGAGCGAGAGGGCCTGTGCTTGTCCTCGGGCCTCCTCTTGGACACAGGTGCAGGGTGTGAAGACGGCTTCTGCCCTCTTGGCCTTCTGAGGGCTGCATGTCCCTCTGCAGCTGCCAGGGCGGCTGCTCCTACCCAGCCTCTGCTCTCCCAGGCACCTCAGGATTTCAGCACAGGACACTGGGGCAATGTGACCCTGCCAGGGCAGCCCAGCTCCAGTTGTGAGGAGTCCATGGTGCCGAGCTCACCCAGGTCTTTCCCCCACCTGCGTTGCCCAGGAGAAGTCATGTGCTGTTACATTCTCCACAACTGACCTCTCCTCTGGGGGCAGGGACATGTGCAGGAAGCACACTTGTTTTCAGCAGTGTGGGGAACCAGTGCTCAGGGAAAGGCCTTGCCCCATGGTGGCCTCTAGGACACATGCCTTCTGAGGCTGCAATTAGTACACCATGCTCCCTCCTGTCCCAATCCCCCACTGGCATGAGGGGCTCCCCAAGGCCCTCCCTCCATTCCCACCTTGGCACAGGCACCAGTCCAGGGCAGGACCTGAAACACAGAGGCCTGGCTGTGGAAAGGGAAAGGTGACTGAGGGGGAAATGTAGCAGCCAGACATCTGCCTCATGGGGCCCGGAAGCAGCACCATTCCCAGAGTCCCCTCACCTTGGGAAGGTGACTTCCTAGGCTCCCTCTCCTGGACATGCAAGGAAGCACAGGTGTCCACTGGGGTGAGCACTTCTCCCTGTGTCCCTGTTCAGAGTTCCAGCATGTGCCGCCACCACCAGCACCCTGCCTTGAGTGAGCCGGGTGCAGTGGCGCATGCCTGTCATCCTAGTGACTCGGGAGGCTGACACAGGAAGATCGTGTGTTCAAAACCAGCCTCAGCAAAGGCAAGGTGATAAACAACTCAGTGAGACCCTTTCTCTAAATACAATACAAAACAGGGCTGGGGCTAGGGCTCGGTGGTCAAGGGCCCCAGAGTTCAATCCCTGGTACCAAAATAAGCTCCTAAATGATGGGGCTCTTTCCTCACTTGGGCTCTGCGCGGAGGCGCTGAGGGGCCTCAGGTCCCCAATGACATAGCTGTGGGACACGGGAGAAGTGCAAGCTTGCTGGGGTGGCAGATTCCAGCTGCCTCCTGGCTACCACTCACAGCCTCTGCCATCTTGCTGCTCCCATTCCCAGGTGGCTGGATCCTAAGGAAGGGAAGAGGGGTGTTGACACGGCCAGCTTGGCAAGTGGGTGCCACCTGTTCTTCAAGCTCCTGACAGACTTAAAGTGGGACAACAGGGACCCCTGAACACATGGACAACACAGATGAGAATTTGCAGGTAGAGAAGAGGACAATGCCCAGAGGGTCCCCTGGGGCCTGCAACTGGGGACTAGTCAATGCCTTGTGAGGGGGAAAGGACCCAAGGGAAAGGACCCTGCAGGGAATGGACTAAGAGTCCCCAGAACCCACTTGGGCCACTGTTCCTAACTCACAGGAGACTGGGTAGAACCTCAGAGGAGCACGGCCCTTGATAACAAAAAAAATTAAAGCTGGACGAAAGGCAGCTGTGAGCAAAGCCCAGAAGCACACCTCTAAAGACCCTCGAGTCGAACGAGCTTTGCTAGATCCTAACTCGACACTGCTGAAGGAAATATAGAACCCCAGAGCCAGCGATTTAAAATCCACAATATCTTCAATCCAGGTCTGTCCGTGGGTCCAACTCGGAGACAAAGGCCGTTCAGTACAGAGAACAATTAATTACTTACAGAAATTAACTAGGAACCAACAAAAGAGAACTCCACAGAATCCCTAGGGTAGAGAGGCACCAAGGGAAGGATCCAGACCTGGGAAGAGTGTGTCACAGGTGCCCCGCCATGGTGTCCCAGGTCAAGAGTCGAGAACCCCTGGGGGTGCTGAACCCAGCTGGCAGGCTCTCTGTGGAAGGGATGGGAAGACCTGAGGTGGGGGTGCTGTGTGGGGTCCAGCTTCACGTGTGCAGCCATCTTGGTGGTAGCCTCCATCTTGCCACCAGGAGACCCAGGCACGAGTCGCAACTCCTAAAGGGCAAATAGATCATTAAGACAATCAGCTGAGTGGGCTGTGCCCTTGACCCATGCTTGGACTGCTCCTTGACTGTGTGGACATGTTCAGAGTTCATGGGAAAGGCCAAGTGCATTCTAGACGGCACAGCCCACCTCCATCCAGCTCAGCATGAAAGCCCGTCCTCCTGCCACCACCACCCAAGACACCTTCTGTCCTCTAGTCCCCAGGAGACTACAGTCGGTGCATTACTGGCTCTGTCGTCCTCTTACTTTGGTCTGTGACCCCTTCCACCTTTGGCAGCTGGTTCTCAAACACTGGGACTGGCTTTTTCTAAAGCACAAACTCACCAGAAAGTAGCCAGGAGCCAGCTGGGGCCACAGAACCTGCCTAAAAGCGCCCAAGTATCCCACAGGCCAGACTGTCACAGAACAGGCATAAGCAGAGCAGCAGCACAGAGGATGCTCCTCCAGCCCCAGCAGATCAGCAGGCAGCAAGGGAGGAGGGTGTCACCCGCAGCAACCACAGGGGCCTTGAGTGGAGGTGACACACCAAGTCTGCTGTAACAGACCTCAGTCAAGGGGACGCCAGCACACAGCCACTGCCTTAGCAGCTAAGTTGCCAAGACTGGCCTCAAACTCCTGAACCTCCCCAGTCCCTGGGGTTACTGGCTGTGCCACTGGGTCTAGCAAAGAAAATAAAATCTTAAAAATGGCCCTGCTAAAAAGCACACTATGGCCAGGCACATGGTGCACACCTGTAATCCCAGAGACTCAGAAGGCCACACGTTCAAGGCTAGCCTCAGCAACTTAGTGAGGCCCTGTCTCAAAAAAAAAAAAAAAAAAAAAAAAAGGGGGGGGTGGGCTGGGGATATAGCTCAGTGTTTAAGCACCCCTGGGCTCAATCCCCTGGTACCAAAAAAAAAAGTATACTCATCCACAACTGAGGATGGTTGCAGTGCAGCTCAGGGCACAGGACTTATCTAGCATGCAGGAGGCCCTGGGCTCCACCTACTGTATTGCAATTCATTAAAAAGAAGCAAGCCAGCCAGCCAGGTATGCACACCTGTAATCCCAGCTACTTGGGAGGCTGAGGCAGGAGGATGGAAAGTTTGAGACCAGCCTCAGCATCTTAGTGAGACTCTGTCTCAAAATAAAAGAGGAGGCTGAGGATGTAGCTCAGTGCTAGAGCAGCCCTGGGTTCGATCCCCAGTATCACCAAATAAAAATATAAATGCTCTACCAGGTTCATTTCTACATACACTTCTTGCCTTTCCTGACCAACTGTTTCCCTCCCCCTGCTACAAAGGTGTTTGTGAATCCTCAACCCCCCACCCCAGCTACAGACCCAGGAGAGAGAATCATTAGCCTGGGGGGACAGGGGGGTCCTATTTAGAACCGGGCAAACAGAGCCTCTGAGTGCCCCTAGTTCAGTCCCCAGTACAACTGGAAAAAAAAAGGGAAAAAGTAAAATTACTACAACCAAAAAAACTGAGAAGACAATTATTTGCTTACTCAATCTGCACTCTCCCTGACCCCTGCCCAGATAAACGAGGAGGAGCTGGACAGGTTTTGGCTTTGCAGAACTGAGACAAGTGCTTTCACTTCTTCCACAGGACTGCTTCAAACATCAACT